CGGAGGCAGAGGCAGGCGGATCTCTGTGAGTTCGAGGCTAGCCCGGTCTACAGAGCGAGTTCCAGGACAGCCTCCTAAACCACAGAGAAACCCTGTCTCGGAAAATCAAGGAAAAAAAAAAAAAGAAAAGACCAACCCCCGTTTCCTTATCTGTTTCAGGTGTTCAGGCGCTTCGTGGAGGTTGGCCGGGTGGCCTACGTCTCCTTTGGGCCTCATGCTGGCAAGCTGGTCGCGATTGTAGATGTAATCGATCAGAACAGAGTACGTATAAGAGGAAGCGGCCCACAGCCTCTCATTTAACGTGGCTGTGAGTTTTGACGACACCGTAGATGGCCCTCGGGTGGGGTTCTGTAGGTTACAGCTTTCCCTTGGAGGGAACGCTAGACACGGAGTCTGAAGTGCAGAGGAGAGTTCGCTCTTCATAGATTCCCTCAGGAAGTACACTAGGCAGATGTTTCAGTTGGGGTCAAAAATGCAGGGGAGTTCAAAAAAGGTAACGATAAAAGGAATTCAGAGCAGCTGGAGGTAGATTTTGCTCAAGACCCTGAAGTTGGGTGTGGTGACGCCTGTCATCAGCTCTCTGGGACGAGGAGGTAGGAGAACTAGGAGTTTGCCCCCGACTTGGGCCATGGAGCTCACAGGACGCTGTTGGCTTTATTTGAATAGTCATGGATACCCAGTCTTGGAAAGGTCAAGAGATTTTATTGTTTTCGGGCATCTTGACCAGGTTCCCATCTGAGATCCCCGTTTTTGTATTCTAGGCTTTAGTCGATGGACCTTGCACTCGGGTGAGGAGACAGGCCATGCCTTTTAAGTGCATGCAGCTTACTGACTTCATCCTCAAGTTCCCACACAGGTAACTCACTCCCTGTTAGCTGCCTTCCAATTTGGTGCCACTGTCTGCTTTTCCCCTTTAGAATATTCTGCCAATACAGAGGGTTCAGAGCCAACCCAGAATGTCAGCAAACGGACCTTAATTAGTTAGGGTCGCCCAGTCATTTTACCGTCATGAAAGTTGTCCATATTTGGTCTCTTTCCCTTACCACTGTTTTTTCGAGACAGGGTTTCTCTGTATAGCTTTGTAGACCTGGCTGGCCTCTGACTCCTGAGTGCTGGAACTAAAAGGCACGACCACCACCCCCTAGCTCCTCTGTTTTGTTTTCAATGAGAAACTCGGCTCGTTCCCAGAGTGGCTTTGGTGCGTTGCTACCGTTGTTGCTAGAGCAGAATTGTGCTTGTGGCTTCATTGTGTTGGCAAGCACCATGGAGCAGTGGCCAGGATGGCCTGTGGTGGTTTGTTTCTAAGTTGTGTGCTTTTGGTGTTGAGATAGGTTCCTTCTTGTCTTGGCCTACCTTGGTGATGGAGTTAGTGTGTTTTAAGGAGTTACCATGCCTTCCTTTAAAGCGACTATGGTTGTGGTTACAAAGTATTCAACATAAAAAAGCCTGTTTCCAGCTTATGGAAGTAAAGCCACAGAACAAATGCAAATTAGAACGCCTGCCCTGCCTTGCAGTGTGGTTGTCAAGTCAGCAATGTTGGGTGTGCTGAGGCAGCCAGCATGTTTTGAGAGACAGTGTGGTTCAGGGGTGGCAGTAGTTACGGAGTGATTACAGGTGAGTATTGAGGGTTCATAGCAAGCAGTAAGGAAGTTTTGGGTGGGTAAGAAACTTGGCCAAGTTAATGAACAAAGTATACACTGGTGTAAGGAGTGGCTTTTATTAATTACAAAAGGACATGGTTTTATGCACATGCACTATGTAAGTAGTATGTGTGTTCAGACAGGTGATTTTTCCAGTCTTTGGAATTCCCTGGGGGGGGGCATTGTCTAGCCTATGTTTTATGAAGACAACTGAAGCTGATTCATTAATCCACGGTCTTGCTCTTCATGTACATAGTGCCCGCCAGAAATATGTACGGAAAGCTTGGGAGAAAGCAGATATCAATACGAAATGGTCGGCCACAAGATGGGCCAAGAAGATTGATGCCCGAGAAAGGGTAATGGCGTGAAGCCTTGAGCTCTGGAGGGTGGGGAGGGGGTGTGTGCTGACAAACAACAGGAGAGATCATTTTGTTTTCTTTTAACAGAAAGCCAAGATGACAGATTTTGATCGTTTCAAAGTAATGAAAGCAAAGAAAATGGTGAGTTTTCAGATGTACATGTGTTGTGTGAGTGTGAGGAGACAGTGGCCAGTCCCTGTTTCATGGTGCTTGTTAGGTTGGGGCCCGAGAGACAGCGCAGTGAGTGAAGGTACTCATCAGGGTTAGGATGCTGGCCCAGTGACCTGACTTGAGTCTTGGAGCAGCATGGTGGTAGAAGGAGAGAACTCGTCCCACTAATTGTCCTTCCATCATGCCCACACAATATTGTAGAGTAGTATCCTTACCTGAATTTAGTTCTGTGGGTGAAGCTTGTTCAACAGTGGACATAGAGCAAGTTTGGTGTAAGCCTGCCCTGAATGCTCTCCTGTCTTTCTCCAGAGGAACAGAATCATCAAGACTGAGGTCAAGAAACTTCAGAGAGCTGCTATCCTGAAAGCTTCGCCCAAAAAAGCTCCTGTTGCTAAGGCTGCCATTGCAGCGGCAGCGGCTGCAGCTGCAGCTGCTAAAGCTAAGGTTCCAGCCAAGAAGGGGACAGCACCAGGCAAGAAGGCTGCAGGCCAGAAGGCTGCAGGCCAGAAGGCTGCAGCTCCTGCTAAAGGTCAGAAGAGTCAGAAGACCCCGACCCAGAAAACCCCTGCTGCAAAGGCAGCTGGAAAGAAAGCATGAGGCTGTACAAAGTAATAAAGGCTCTTTGACATGTCGGCATCTCGTGTGTGGACTCAAAACTTGTCGCCGAGTGGGTGTTAGAAAAAGATAGATGGGATTATAACAGGATCATTTATTTAAACTCACTCTACCTGGGCCTTAACAGCACACAGCCATAGCCAAACTGAACTTGCCTACTGCACAGGTACCATGGCAGTTAGAACAATGTGGCTGTCCCTTGTACAAATAAATGTGTTTCCTACAAGCAGGTGGAATTTTGTCCTTTCAATAGTTGGAGATTCTTTAAAGGTAGAGCGGGGCTAGGTGCCTTCCTGTCCTGTGTGTCAGGGTAGATTTCTTCTCTTCTACTGCAAGACTGGTAATTTTGGACTGTAAAATAAGCTTGCATATTTCTAGGAAAAGTTGCTGATTGGAGGGAAGCTTTGTAAAAGCATGGCATGGAATTCAGTAAGAGATAATTTGGGTGGATAATTTGTAGGATTATTTCCAGCAGACGGGGGTTTTTAGTCTCATCTCCAGGACTTAACATCTAGGCAGGTTGGGGTTCTGAAATACAAGTTGGAGATGACTTGGAGTGAAGGGGGCAGTTAATGCCATTGTAAGCAGCTTTTGATGGCTCTGGCTCTTTCCATGAGGTGGCAGATTGAGGGTTCAGGCTGTTGCTAGGAAATGGTACAATTTGGGGCAGTCTGATAAGCCTTTAAGAAAGGGGCAAGAATACCTGGATCTGTAGTTCAAGGCCAGCCTGGTTTACAGAGCCAAGTTCCAGGACAGGCTCTAAAGTTATACAGAGAAACCTGTCTTGAAAAAAAAAAAGGAATGAGCCTGGTGGTGGTGTATGCATTCAATTCCCAGGAGGCAGATCTCCTGAGTTTGGGGTCAGTGTAGGATACAGAGTGCCAGGACTACAAAGTGAAACCATTTTGATTTGTTTTTGAGACTTTCCGTGTGTATTCCTGGCTCTCCTGGCACTCATTCTGTAGACAAGGATGACCTCAACTCTGATCCACCTGCCCTCCAGTGCTGAGATAAAATGTGTGCCACCACTGTCCAGCAGCAACCCTGCCTTGTAAAGCCAAAGGAGGAATTAGGTATAAGCTACGCAGAGGGGGGAAGACCTTGAGAGGCCAGCCAGGGCTACATAGTGAGACTTAACATCAACTAGTGATCCTGGCATAGCGCCTCTGGGAAGTGACAAGTGGAACTGTGAGGTAAGCTGCTAATTTTTAAAAGCTTGAACTTGAGTTTAGCTAGCTCTGATTGGCTTGTAGATGGGCAAGAAGTGAAGGTGCTCTTAATGTCCAGACATGTTGGTCCTGCTGCCGTCAGGACGGGTGAGGACCAGTTGCTTCCTTGGATCATATTTGGGTTTAAGATGACAGAAAGGAATTAAGACATGGATAGAAAGTGGAATTGAGATTAGTACTATGGTTATCCAGTCTCTGAGCTCACCCCACAGAATTGAGTAAGAGAAGCACCTGGCTGGTTAAATAGCACCCTCCCCAGACAGAGCACTGCAGGTAAGGAAGCATCCTGTGAAGCGTTGTGGGAAAGTAGACATGGAACCAATCTCCAGCCATGCCATTCCTGGATTCCTGATTCACACACCCGGGGGTGGGAGCTGAACTACCAAGCGATTTGTTATGAAGCAGCAGGTTGGTTCCTGTACCAGAGCAGATACCTAAGTGTATGTTTAGGCTGGTTTGCAGGAGTAGTGAGGCCTGCGTCCTGGTGGCTAGGAATTTAGCTCCTGGGACTGTGTTTAGTGGAGTAACCTGGAGTCAAGGTGGGTGAGGTGTGTGGTTATAGGGAAAGGTGCCTGGGAACCCGTACAGGGTTATCAGGTGTGTGGTGATTGGTTGTTGAGGGCATAAAGATTGTTTTGATGACTGAGGATTTCTTAACCTTGGGACCACAGTAGTAGATGTGCTAACTTTCAGAAAGTTGGACTCTGTCTTTCTGGCTTCCAACTTGAGCTCAGACTGACTTCCTGCCTTAGCCTTCAGTATAGGCTGTCAACCACCACACCTGCTTTGTCCTTGAACAAAAAAATGGTTTGCTTGAGGAAGGGTTTCATGTAGTCCAACTGAGCCTTGAACTCCTGATTCCTACCTAGGCCTTTCAAATGCTGGTGTTAGGGTATGTAACAACACAATCAGTGAGAAATTGGCTTTCATTTTTTGCTTTGTCTTTTTTGATTTTTGAGGCAGCGTTTCTCTGTGGCTTTGGAGGCTGTCCTGGAACTAGCTCTTGTAGACCAGGCTGGTCTCGAACTCACAGAGATCTGCCTGCCTCTGCCTTCCGAGTGCTGCTGCTTTATCATTTTAAAGTTTTATTTTGTAGTGCATGTAAATGTTCTGCGTGTGTACTTCATGTATGGCTGGTGCCCGTGGAAGTCAGAAAAGGGCATTGGGTTCCCTGGAACAGGTGTTATGGATGGTTGTGAGCCACCATGTGTGTGCTGGAATCGAATGCTGGACCTTTGCAAGAGCAACAAGTGCTATTAATTGCTGAGCCATTTCTCCATCCCTGTCATTAAACTACATTTACAATTCCGCGTCTGTGCCGGTGTGTTCATGAGTGCTGCGGTGCCAGGCAGTCCCAGAAGGGGGCGTCAGATGGCCTGGAGCTGCATTGGGCATGTGACTTAGGTGCTGGGCCCCTTTCCAGCCGCATCAGCAGGAGAAACTTCACTGATGGTCCAATCTGCACACGTGACGGGGTGGTTTTTTACTTTATTTTATAATGTTGCTATTTACCGTTGGTGCTAGAGAAATATCTCGAGGAATTTGTACAATTTCTGGGCAGAGCTAAGGGCAAGGCGTGCCACTGCCGTCCTAGTGCGGCGCACACGCAGCGGAGCCCGAGGGGCGTGGAAGCCTCGCCAGCCCTCCAGTGCGCACGCGCCAGAGGCACGCGGCAGTCCCGCCCACGCCTGCAGGACGTCAGGTGGTCGGGCCGTGGTACCACCGAGACGAGGCCTCCGGGCGGCCTAGAGCGGCCTGCGTGCGCCCGCGCTGCCGGGTCGGCGGTGTGGCGGGCTCCGGGCTGTAGAAGGTGCCGGGCTGTAGAAGGTTGGAATAGCAGTGAGAGACCCCAGATTGTGTAGGAGACACAGAGCTGGGGCTCCCTATTTGAAAGTGGAAATATCAGCCGGGCGTTAGTGGCGCACGCCTTTAATCCCAGCACTCGGGAGGCAGAGGCAGGCGGAGCTCTGTGAGTTCGAGGCCAGCCCGCTCTACAGAGCGAGTGCTAGGGTAGACTCCAAAGATACACAGAGAAAATAATAATAATAATAATAATAATAATAATAATAATAATAATAATAATAATAATAATAATAATAATAAATATATTGCCTATTGGCCCCGGCTGTGGTGCTGGCTGCTCATCCAGGAGGCCTCCTCAGAGCTGCTCTTGCCCTCACTCAAGCTTGACCAAGAGTCTGGCGTCTCCCTAACCCTGTCTCAGGAGTTGTGACCTTTGAGGCTGTGGCTGTGTACTTCGCACAGTCAGTGGGACAGCTTGCAGCCTGCGCAGAGGGCCTTGTGCAGGGACATGATGCTGGAGAACTGTGCCCAAGTACCTTCTCTGGGTAAGACCTTGTCAGAGCCCAGCTGCTCCTCAGGGATGCTGGGAACTCTCAGGTCCTGAGGCTGGATGGCTGTAGTAAGGACTTAGATCCCACCCTGGTGAGGTAGTCAGGTTCAGGGGCATCCCTGGTAACCTTGGTTTTCTACCTGGACATCCAAGTCTTACTCCAGGTGCGGGTGTGGCTCAGTTACCTGGGGGCTGGGAGCCTTCTTGGTATCCAGGGAGCTCTGTCTAGCCTTCCACCTGGGGTAGAGAGCTGGTGTCTGCAATTGTGGAAGGAAGGGTTCTCCCAGGGAAGCAGCACCAGCATCCTTCCTGAGGGAGCTTCCTCTCTTGAGACCAGGTCATTTTCCCTTCCTGAGACGTCATTATAGAGCAGGTTAGACCCCTCTGTGCTGCTCTGTCATCTGTTGTCCGCTTCTCTGCCAATTAAGCCTGAAGGAAAGTGGGCTGATGACAGAGGTCTTGGGAACGCATTGGCAGTCTCTCCTCAGCTTGTCCATACTCTTTTTCTCCACCTCACAAACCCAATCTTGTCTCCCAGCTGGAGAACGTCTAGGAGGCTGCAGTCCTGCTAAGTCCTAGACACCCTGAAGAGAGTTGCTGTAGGAGGGAGGTGCCTGGTGATTCCAGGTCCGACCTGAGTGTGCAGGAGCAGCCCCACCATGTGCAGTTCCCGTAGCCGTTCCCTGGTGCAGAGTTCAAAGGCAGCCTAGCCAGTTTTGTTTTCACTGTCCTTCATAAAGCGTGGCAAAGGCGCAGGGTTCCATGGTGCTAAGGGAGGTGTTGCTGGGTGAGCCAAACTATTTTCTGTCACAGATAAGGCTTCCACATCTAAGCCATCAGCAATGGGAAGAGTGGCTTCATTTTAAAACCTCCACTTGCATTGCCAGGGTGTTGGTGGTGTACACGTTTAGTCCCAGCACTCGGGAGGCAGAGGCAGGCGGATCTCTGTGAGTTTGAGGCCAGCCTGGTCTACAGAGCGAGTGCCAGGATAGGCTCCAAAGCTACACAGAGAAACCCTGTCTCAAAAAACCAAAAATAAATAAATAAATAAATAAATAAATAAAACCTCCACTTGCTGTACTCTTTCCACCCGTGTTGTATTTATCACAGACGGGGCAATGGAGACAGGCTGGGATGTCCTTCCACCATAACTGCCCATGCAGACAGCGCAATGCATCCCTGTTTCCCCTAGGTCACTCCCAGCCTGGATTTCCCCGCTGGAAAACTGGGGTTTCCAGCCTTGCTCCTGGTGCATGCTGGGATTTTGTACACCTCAACTACTTTATCAGGGACTCCACAGAGAGCAACAGCTGTCAGGCCAACTTCTGTCCAGCTGTCTTTCCGAGAGAAATGACTTTTCTCCCAGAGCATCACTTTGAATTCAGGGTGTGAGTATTTGGGTGCTGGGAGTTGTATTTCCCACTGAGGCCTCCTGGGAC